GTGCTGCTGCTGCTGTCCGGGCGCCCGGAGTCGGTGAGCTTCGCGCAGAGCGTGTGCGGCCTCCTAGGCGCTGGCCCAGGGCTCGGGCCGTGGCCCACGCACTGCAGCTTGAAGCGAGGACAGCTCATCCTCTCGGACAGGCCGTCCCCGGAGGCCTCGGACAGGCTTCCGCTCCAGGTGGGGAGCAGGGGGGCCCTAGGGGGAGGCGAAGGCCGAAGACGGGGACCGTGAGGGGTGGGAAGCGTTGGCGGCGAGAGGCCAGAGCCTCCCACTAGTGGGCTCCCCGGTTCTGAAAGCCCCACCTCCATGCTCGTGCCCCGGCTCTGAAGCCCGACTTAAACCAGGCGTCTCCCTCTTGCCAGCGACCCCCTTTCTGCCCTTTTGCGGCCCTGGCCCAGCAGCCCATGGTCCCTAAGGCCACGCTGCCCACGAATCGAGGTGTGGACCTGGGTGTGGCCGTCCTTCTACAGTCCGGCGACCAGACTGTCTTGTTGACCCGAAGGACACGCATTCTCAGAATCTCCCCCAACCTCTGGGTACCCCCAGGTGAGTGCTCAGGATACAGGGGCCCCCTGCTCCACCCCTTCCCGGCCCACCCTGACATACCCACAATTACAAGGGGCTGCCGCTGTCCACTCGGGTGGCGGGAGGGCAGCAGTAAAGGTTTCTGGTGAAGACAACCAGCATTCACCTGCTGGTTCCTCCTACTGCAGGTGGACACGTGGAGCCTGAGGAGGAGGTATCTACCGGTCCGTTGATCCAATGGGCTAGGGAGGGGCAAAGAGAAGGACTCGGGGAGTCCGCTGGCCATTCTGACTGCCCTCTGACTCCCAGTTGTTGGATGGAGGGCTTCGAGAGCTATGGGAGGAGTGCGGACTACAGCTGCCCGAGGACCAGTTCTCCTGGGTCCCTCTGGGGCTATGGGAGGTGAGACGGGGTGGGAAGGGATCCCTCGGTTTAACAGACCTCAACAGCTCCCTGGAGTCCATACCTGCCTTGGCCACTGGGGAAAGCACAGGGGTGGACCGGGGGCTGGTATCCAAACCCATGACAGTCCTCACCCATCTACCATCCACTTCCCAGCTTCTAGCCAGCCTTTTGTGTCAGCCCAAAGCTATACTTAAGTCTCAAACCTGACAGGGTGTTCTGTTTTCATTTCAGTCTGCCTACCCACCACGGCTAAGCTGGGGTCTCCCCAGATATCACCACATTGTTCTCTATCTACTCGTGATCTCCCAGGAGTCACAGCAGCAGCTGCAAGTAGGTGTGGCAGTGGATTCAGGAAGCAGGGCTTATGGGAATCCAAGCAGCCAGGTTCAACCCGGGTGGGGGCAGAGCCTGAGGACCAACAGTGCCCAGTGCCCTGTGCCCTCTCCCCAGCCCTACCCCATCGCTCCACTCACTGAGCAGTGTGTGATCAAGAATAGCGCTTTCAGCGACAGCCGACCGACAGCCGACTGACAGCCGACTGAAGGTCCAACATGTCTAATCCCAGGCCCAGATCCAACCAAACCCAGGAGAGGTGAATGCCCTTATGTGGCTGGGACCAAAGGTAGCGGCTGCAGTGGCAGCTACAGAGGATGGGACAGAGACAGCTGGCTTTCTCCACCAGGACCTGCCACCCTCTGTCCCGTAAGTAAAGCTTCTCCCTTAGCCTTCAACATGCCAACACATACACATTGAGTTCATTTTCTTCAGGATAGAATTTTGGATCTGTGGGCAAACTTAGGGCACTGACCAAGGGTTCTCAGTCCATCTGGCTGGCATTGAAGACCTAGGTTTGAATTTCAGCTTTGCATAGGTAGAAGCCATTCCTTAAACCTTTTCCTTTCTGTAAAATGAAGTTGACACCCACCCACCTACCTCCTGCTGTAGTTGGGAAGGTTGAATCTCCTAACATAAGGAAGTTCTCTGCAAACTATAAGGCACAACCCAGACAGGAACTGTCCTTATGCAGTGCCATACAGCTAGAAGAGGATGGAGGAGCCCGACCTGTGGCTGTGCCCATGTCCACACTGCTGCAGACGACACCAGCCACAGCAGAGGACAAAGAGAGGGTCAGCACCGGAACCAAGTTTGCTCTCAGGCTCTGGCTGCAACACCTGGGCAGGTAAAGGTGAGGGCCCCACAGTGGAGGAGAGGAAGGAAGAACTGTCCTCAGAGAGCCCTGGGTAATGTCCCCACCAAGTGAAAGTGGGACCTGGAGCCAGCAAAGGACGGAACATGGACCCTCCTCCCCCAAACCAGAGATCTGGAAAGTGAAGGGCATCGCTCCCTCCCCAGTCCACCTCATGACACTCATGAACATTCACAACCTTTATTGTGGGTGAGAACTTTGCTACAACTTTGGGAATAAAAAGTAAAATTACAACCAAGTCCTAGGCCCCAGAGGAGCCTGAAAAAACAAAGACTGGAAGGAGGGCACACGCTCCTCCAACCACCCAGGGAAGGTGCAGAAAGAGCCAGGCCTACCCACCAGGCCATGGGTCTCTGGAAGCTTAGGCCCTGGGCCGATTGGCATTAAGAAACATTGTGAACTTAAATATATATAAATAGAGAGAGACCTGGGCAATAGACCAGGCCCTCCCTGCTTCCAGACCCCTGGAGATCACGACTAAGGCCTTATCTTCTCAGTCATACTGGGAAGTAGGAGGCAAGGGAAGTCATCTTTGGAGTGTTTTGGTTTTTCTCATTTATGTACAAAAAAATCTTCAACCCAAAATAGAGATCTCTGTCTATCTCTGAAACTGCTGTCTTGGTTTTACCACCTGTCTGTGTGGCTAAAGGGAATGGAATAAACATGGAAAGAACAGACGGTTGGGTTTGGGGGATGGGAAGGAAGAGGGGCACCTTGGAGACAAGAGGAGAAACCTTTCCCACTCTAGACAGCGAGAAGGCTGATGATTCGGGCCATCTCCCCAACTCATCCCGTCGGCCCCCCACTGCCTGAGTTAACAAACATACCCAAAGGAATGTGCTGCCATCCAAAGAACACTTCCAAAAATAGACCCCGGTGTCTTTAAAAAGAGGTTAAATATTAACCCTTTGGGTGCTGGCCTTGGTAGACAGGCCAAAAGTGGTATCCGTGAAGATCTGTCGGGCCTTTGGCCAAAACCCCCCTAGGGGTCAGAGTGGCCAGGGGCTGCACCACCACAGCACACTTGCTCTGTGCTGAGGGACAGTGAAGGTTTCACAATCCAAGGAATTCAGTCTAGGGAAATGATGTCTGACCGACAGCCAGTCAAGGAGGGACCAGAAGGCAGGGGTCCCTCCCGCAACGACCCTCCAGGAGGCACAATGCTGCTGACGCGCCCAGCGGGGGGTGCTGGAGTGGAGGTGCGGTGCGAGCTGCCCAACGTGGGGGCCAGGGGGCCCAGAAAGTGGGAAGGGGTCCCCCGGTACTGGAAGAAGTGGCCAAGGGCATCTTGTTCATCTAGCGAGGTGATGACCGAAGGACCATAGTGCTGGGAAGAATCAGGGGCACAGTTTAAGATTTTATCAAGACTTACCAGCCTTCTATCACTCAACTTAGGGACAGTTTATGGAGTGAGTTAACCCCCGAGTCTCAAGGAATTCTCAAGAAACAGGAGGATCTCTCTGACTCTACCCTACTTCCCCACACCCTTCCTGTCTGCCCACCTTGATGCAGCCCCTCCAGCTCACTAAGTTCTTGGCCCTGAGGCATCTGCAGTGTGTGGTCTGTGCAGCTGACAGACGGGCATGGTGCTGTCAGTGCCGATGGTGTGTAGGGCTGAGTAGGCAGGGAGAGAACTACACTGAAAACTTAACGGTAACGGGATCTAGAAAGACACAGGGAGGGAGGCACTGCCATCAGTTCCTAGCAAGGAAGCTGCATGGAGCTCAGATCTTCATTGGAGGAGAAGGGACCACTTACCTGACTCTCAGTCTGAAGAAAAGAAAATAAATCTAAACCTGGTAAGAAAAGAAGAAAAACCAAAATCAACCTCCTATAAAATGTTCCTTTCCAAGAGAGCCAGGAGGATTTGAAAAGGAGCCAGTGTTCTGAGGAGGGTGTGGGATTACAGAACCCCACGTTAGGGTCTGGCATACCTTGGATGTCGGCCCCCAGGGGGAAGGCAGGTGGGTACTCGTGTAGTGGGAGACTGGACAGGAAGTCGCCGCCCAGCGTGCCCACTGCAGGGCTCCGCAGCACCGAGGATGGCTGGTGACTAGAAGTCAGGACTCTGTGAACAGAAAAGAGATGGGGTGAACCACAGATATCCACACCCAACTCGACTTCCCCAGCTGGCCTCCTGTCCACCTTTCCCTTGCCCTGGGAGGGTTTGCCCGATGACCAGAAATCATTGCTGACTTCTTCCCCTGCCTCTCTTGCTGTAGATTTCACCCGTTTTCTTACCCTTTGCTTCCGGGTAGGGCCGGGATGACAGCTGAGGTAACAGGACAGTGCTTCTTGGTTGGAGGTAGATCCTCCTCATCAGAAGAGCTTTCTATTGTCAAGTCAATAACTTCAACCTTCTTCTTACTCTCTGATGGATTTCCTTCTTGGACTGGGCTGTACTGGAGGCCTGTGGGTGGTTAAGAAGAATGTGTCTCAGAAAAAGGCCCATTCAAGATTTAGCTCAGCTAGAGGACAGAGGGTCACTCACCATCCAGCCCATACCCTGGTGGGGGGCAAACCTCAGATGCCTCCTTTTTGGGTTTCATTGGGCACCAGGAACCATCTTCCATAAACTGTATCTCATCACAGTCCGAACAGGAATTAAGAATCTCCATGAATAAACTAGGAGAGGGGAAAGATGAGAATTCAGCAGAGTTCTGTGACAACTCAGAAGGCATAGTAGGTGGTGAGTTGTTACCCTTGCCTAAAGTTAAGTAAAATGTAAAAGAGCTTTACAAACTTTGGGTGCTAGGTTTTAAAATAAATGTAATGTGAATACCTGTTAGGTATAGTTCTAGCAACAAGACAGAGAATTTCATAAACCAACTCAAAAAAAGACACCTTGATGTGGTGGCACACGCCTGTTGATCCCAGCACTTGGGAGGCTGAGGTAGGAGGATCACAAGTTCGAGGCCAGCCTGGACTACAAGGTGAGTTCGAGGCCAGCCTGCACTACAAAGCAAAACAGTCTTAAAAAAACCAAAACCCCAATAGAAAAAAAAAAAGACACTGAACAACAGCCATAAAGAAGGCTCTGGAATGGAGTTAAAACCAGCTAGGAAAAAGAAATTCTTGCTTATGGGAAAAAATTTTTTTTTCTTTGCCTATGAAAAATAAAAATGCTCCTGTGGGGTTAGGGGGTAAATAGCTTAGCAAAACCAGGTCCTCAAAAGAACCCTGTTACTAGGCTCAGCAAGGGCTAGGGGTGTGGCTTAGAGGTAAAGCATTCACCTAACACGAGGCCATGGGTTCAACCTTCCGCTACCACATTTAAAAAAATTACACTTAGGCCTGAGATTTAGCTCAGTGGTGCCTCGTCTGCCTTGCAAGCACAAGGTCCTGAGTTTGATCCCCAAAAAATAAAAATAAAAAAAATTTTTTTAAATTACGTTCAGTAGGAGGTAGCTGTAGGTAATAAAACAGTTCAGTACAGTGTCTCTGCCACTTACTAACAGTGTGATCTCCAGCAAGAATCTCTCTGGGCCCCAGTTTCCTCATCTGTAATGATGGTACTTATCTCCCAGGGTTCTCATGAGGGTTCGGTATGATAATGTGCAAAGTGATCAGCAGGATCCCTTCACACACTAGGCCATGGATGCTGTGTCTCCAGCAGATGGAGATCTCGAAGACAGAGCTGGGTTCATGGAAAGGACGGTGAGCCCCGTTTAGGAAAAGGAGGGCCTAGTGGATGTCCCAGGAAGAGGCAGCAGAATGGCCTTACCCGTCAATAATGAGAGATTCGTAGGGTGCCTTCTTGTCACACACGGGACACGTCCACGTTGGCTTCTTCTCATTCATCTGTAGGTAAAGGGCGGCATCGAAGCTCTGCAGGTGGGCGCAGGTGAGGGCACGACACGGGACAGTCAGGCGCATCTTCCCTAGCTGAGAATAATTCTGTAGTCAGAGCCTCTGCGCTGGTTTCATTCCAAGAAACCTCTAGTGTCCCCAGTCAGAGACCCAACCATCCTCCCCCATACCCACCGGGCACATGAGTGACACCCGCAGACTCGTAGTAGCCACCTCACTGTCAGGGTCAGCGGTCAGCTTCTCCTTTACTGAAACAAGAGTGAGGCAAAAGCCATGGGGTCAGCAAGGGTGGGGAAACTGGGGGATCAGCACGTCCAGCAGACCACCCCGGCTGAAGGCAGCTGGGTAGTCTCTGGAGTGGTTTGGGATCTGCTCATGAAGGCTGGGTGTGGGGGAGAGGTTTGCCCAATCCCAGACATACTTAAACACAGTCAGGTGCCACTTTGGCTGGGTTAGAGGTGACCTAGAACTAAAACATCTTGTGAGTCACACAGGATGACCCTTAAGACTCCCTCCAGTCCTGAGAACCCATATCCTAACAGGGCTGGACTTGGAATCTGTGAGGAGTAAAGCAGATGTGTGAATGGAAGACACTGGCTGTCATTCATGGCCTGGGAGTGACCCAGCTTCCAACTGCGAAGACCAGTGAGGCATATGGGAGGGCGGGGATTCTCGTGAGAAGCTGTCACACGCGAGCCGAGCTGTGGGTTTCATTATGAAGGCTGGAAGGCCCGAAGACTTGGAGTTGGATCAGAGGGGAAGCGAGAGGGAGGATGTCACTCACTCAATGCCCGGGAGTGGTCCGGGTTCCGGATCCCCTTGGCTCTGAGTTTTTGTAGAAGGGTCCCTGCAGTCAACTGCCTCACCAGGTACACAGACAAGGAGTAATTCTACTTGGGGTGGAGAGAAAGAATTAGCTTCTGCTTCTAACTCCACCACTGCCCTCTTTGGTCCCACGAAGACCAGAGACCCAGGGTGGCTCCTCGCTGCCCGACAGTCCTTTCCGGGAGCCGTTTTCCCTACTCACCCGTCCAAACTCAGATGACCAGTTGACCACGATGGTGTTGGGAACAGTGGCCGAAAGTCTAGCCAGGGGGGTGATGTTGATGGGGCGGCTGGGCCTCTTGGGCTCTGCCCCATTCTTGGTGGGGGGAAGGTAACCCTGAGGGAGGGAGGGACCGGTCAGTGGACAGGTGGCTCTGCGAAGGATTCTGCTCTAACAACAAAAGACACCTTGTCTTGGGTTCCTCACTCCCTGGGGGAAGGCCAGCTCTCTCACCAAACAAGGGGATGGGAGCCCATTCAGTGAAACACATTATACAGGGTTGTGCATGGGGTTCATTCCTCTTTCAATAAATAAGATTATTTATCATCCAAGAAAACAGAAACCCACTCACTGAGTCCCTCAGGAAGAGGAACAGGAACATCTAACTTCTCTCAGCTCATCTCTGGGATCATGAATTCTCTAAGAAGTCTTTCTTTTCTTTCAGTGGTACTGGGGACTGAACCCAGGGCCTTTGCAGTGATCTACATCCCCAGCATTTTTTTTTTTTTTTTTTTTTTTT